CCGGGAGGGGCGAAGTTTGCCCATGCCAGTACTATATGCTCAATCTATCCAACCACACTACCTTCTATAGGCGATCACTCTTGGCTGAGTATTATTGTCTTCTAAGAGTAGAGTCTTGGCAGTGGGTCCGTTGGTGACTGTGGAGACCTATTCTTGATCCACATGATCTTTTGCAGTGTGGACATTGATTTYCAGATAGAAGACGGTCCCRACAAGGGTTGGCTTAATGCGCCTTCCTATTAACATGTTTCTCCCTTTCACTCTCAATTCATGCCTCTTCGAATTTCACAACACTGTTGGTCACAGCTGACCTCCAGTTCTAATACTTGAGGGCCAAGGCTTCCCACATTTTATGGTGTTTAGGCCACAATCTCTTTTGCTGTCCAGCAACATTCTGTTTTCAGTTCCAATACTCGAGGGCCAAGACTTCCCAGTTCTTGTTTAGGCCACAATCTCTTTTGCTGTCCACCAGCATTCTGTTTTACGTTCTCAAGTTGTGAGTAAAGTAACTGCTTTGGGAGATGGTGATCGGGCCTTCAGACGTGGCTTATCCTGTTGATGATGAAGGATCATGACTTCAGTACTGGTGGTCTTTGCGTCGTCTTCCAAAATGCTGACATTCGTCCGCCTGTCTTCCTAAGAGATTTGCTGGATGTTTTGGAGGCAATGCAGATGGAATCATTCCAGAAGTTGAGAATGATGTCTGTAGATGGTCCATGTTTTGCAGGTGTACAACAGAATTGGAAGAACAATGGCTTGATAAACAAGGATTTTGAAGGTACATCTAGATCAGGCCTGGGCCAATTTGGCCTTCCAGATGTTTTGGACTCCAACTCCCACAATTCCTAACAGCCAGTAGGCTGAGTTGTTGTAGGTTTTTCAGGCTCTGTGGCCATGTTCTAGAAGCATACTCTCCTGACATTGCACCTGCCTCTGTGGCAATCATCCTCAGAGATTTTGAGGTTTGCTGGAAACTAGGAAAATTGGGTTTATATATCTATGGAAGGTCCAGGGTGGGAGAAAGAAGTCTTGTCTCTTTGAGGCAGGTGTGAATGTTTCAATTGGCCACCCTGATTAGCATTTGATGGCCTGACAGTTTTTAGGTGTAGCTTGTTACTGAATTCCTTTGTTGAGAGGTGATTAAGTGTTCCTGATTGTTTTTTCTCTGGAGTTCCCCTGTGTTCGAGTTTTATTTTTTATTTATTGTTGTAATTTTAGAGGTTTTTAAAGTACGGGTAGCCAGTTTTTGTTCATTTTCATGGTTTCTTCCTTTCTGTTGAAATTGTCCACATACTTGTGGATTTCAATGGCTTCTCTGTGTAGCCTGACATGGTGGTTGTGAGTGGTCCAGCATTTTTTTGTGTTCTCAAATAATATGCTGTGTCCAGGTTGGTTCATCAGGTGCTCTGCTAGGGCTGACTTCTCTGGTTGAAGTAGTCTGCAGTGCCTTTCATGTTCCTTGATTCGTGTTTGGGCGCTGCGTTTGGTGGTCCCTATGTAGACTTGTCCACAGCTGCATGGTATATGGTAGACTCCTGCAGAGGTGAGAGGATCCCTCTTGTCCTTTGCTGAACGTAGCATTTGTTGGATTTTCTTGGGTCTGTAGATACTTTGTATGTTGTATTTCCTCATCAGCTTCCCTATGTGGTCAGTGGTTCCCTTGAAAGAACATTTCTCCTCTGGGTGGATCCTTGTCTTTACTCTCATGGCTTATTCTCAGTCTTGCAGCTCCTCTGAAGTCTGAGGTAGAGTATCCATTGGCCTGTAAAGCCCAGTTTAAGTGGTTGAGTTCATCTCAGAGGAGGTGGGGTTCACAGATCCTTTTTGCACAGTCTGCCAGGGCTTTGTGCTTCTTTTTTTGACTTGGGTGATGGTTGCTGAACATAGCATTTGTTGAATTTTCTTAGTGGGTCTATAGATAGTTTGTATGTTGTGTTTCCTCATCATCTTCCCTCTGCGGTCAGTGGTAGGCTGACTGGTCACTGGAGCCCCCAGTGGTGCAGTGGGTTAACTTACTTACTTCCGCGATCCCTCGTTTTCCGAGGATGATTGTCTTCCAGTATTTTTGTGGGTCCGTATGTGGCTGTGGAGCCCTATTCTTGCTCTGCATCTTCTTCTGCAGTGAGGGCATTGGTTTCCAGGTGGAACGTGGTCTCGGTCGGGGTTGGCTTGACGCACCTTCATCTTGGCACGCTTCTCCCTTTTGCCCTCCATTCGTGCCTCTTCAAATTCTGCAGCACTGCTGGTCACAGCTGACCTCCAGCTGGAGCGGTCAAGGGCCAGGGCTTCCCAGTTCTCAGTGTCTATGCCAGAGTTTTAAAGGTTGGCTTTGAGCCCATCTTTAAATCTCTTTTCCTGCCCACCAACATTCCGTTTTCCGTTCTTGAGTTCGGAGTAGAGCAACTGCTTTGGGAGACGGTGGTCGGGCATCCGGACAATGTAGTCAGTCCAGCGGAGTTGCTGGCGGAGGACCATCGCTTCAATGCTGGTGGTCTTTGCTTCTTCCAGCACGCTGACATTTGTCCGCCTGTCTTCCCAAGAGATTTGCAGGATTTTCCGGAGGAAGTGCTGATGGAATCGTTCCAGGAGTTGCATGTGACATCTGTAGACAGTCCACGTCTCACAGGCATATAGCAGGGTTGGGAGGAACACAGCTCTATAAACAAGCACCTTGGTATCCTTACGGATGTCCCGGTCCTCTAACACTCTTTGCTTCATTCAGAAAAATGCTGCGCTCGCAGAGCTCAGGCGGCGTTGTATTTCGGTGTCGATGTTGACTTTGGTGGAGAGGTGGCTGCCAAGGTAGCGGAAATGGTCAACTTTTTCCAATGTTACACCATTAAGCTGTATCACTGGCATTGGAGAGGGATTGGCTGGTGACTGCTGGAACAGCCCCTTGGTTTTTTCAATGTTCAATGACAGGCCGAGCTTCTCGTATGCTTCTGCAAAGGTGTTTAGAGTGGCTTGTAGATCTTCTTCTGAATGCGCACAGACGACGTTGTCATCAGCATACTGGAGTTCTATAACAGATGTTGTTGTAACCTTGGTTTTGGCTTTCAGTCTGCTGAGGTTGAATAGCTTGCCATTTTCCAATAGATGATTTCCCACCGGAGTGGGTTAAACCCCTGTGCCGGCAGGACTGAAAACCGACATGTCGCAGGGTCAAATTTAGGGAGGGCGCGGATGAGCTCCCTCTGTTAGCTGCAGGGACATGAGAGAAACCTCCCACAAGGATGGTAAAAACATCAAAAACATCCGGGCGTCCCCTGGGCAATGTCCTTGCAGACTGCCAATTCTCTCACACCAGAAGCGACTTGCAGTTTCTCAAGTTCATCCTGTTGTTGTTCATTCGTTCAGTCGTCTCCGACTCTTCGTGACCTCATGGACCAGCCCACGGCAGAGCTCCCTGTCGGCCGTCACCACCCCCAGCTCCTTCAAGGTCAGTCCAGTCACTTCAAGGATGCCATCCATCCATCTTGCCCTTGGTCGGCCCCTCTTCCTTTTGCCTTCCACTTTCCCCAGCATAATTGTCTTCTCTAGGCTTTCCTGTCTCCTCATGATGTGGCCAAAGGACTTCAACTTTGTCTCTAGTATTCTTCCCTCCAATGAGCAGCCGGGCTTTATTTCCTGGAGGATGGACTGGTTGGATCTTCTCTCAGTCCAAGGCACTCTCAGAACTTTCCTCCAACACCACAGCTCAAAAGCATCGATCTTCCTTCGCTCAGCCTTCCCTAAGGTCCAGCTCTCACATCCGTAGGTTACTACAGGGAATACCATGGCTTTGACTAGGTGGATCTTTGTTGCCAGTCTGATGTCTCTACTCTTTACTATTTTATCGAGACTGGACATTGCTCTCCTCCCAAGAAGTAAGCGTCTTCTGATTTCCTGGCCACAGTCTGCATCTTCAGTAATCTTTGCGCCTAGAAATACAAAGTCTGTCACGGCCTCCACATTTTCTCCCTCTATTTTCCAGTTGTCAATCATTCTTGTTGCCATAATCTTGGTTTTTTTGATGTTTAGCTGCAACCCGGCTTTTGCGCTTTCTTCTTTCGCCTTGATTAGAAGGCTCTTCAGCTCCTCCTCGCTTTCGGCCATCAGAGTGGTGTCATCTGCATATCTGAGGTTGTTAATGTTTCTTCCAGCAATTTTCACCCCAGCTTTGCATTCATCAAGCCCCGCACATCGCATGATGTGTTCTGCATACAAGTTAAAAAGGTTGGGTGAGAGTATGCAGCCTTGCCGTACGCCTTTCCCAATCTTGAACCAATCTGTTGTTCCGTGGTCAGTTCTGACTGTTGCTACTTGGTCCTTGTACAGATTCCTCAGGAGAGAGGGAAGGGGGCTTGGGATGCCCATCCCACCAAGAACTTGCCACAATTTATTATGATCCACACAGTCAAAGGCTTTAGAGTAGTCAATGAAGCTAGGAATGTTAGTGAGATCATATCTAACTGGTCTGTGTATTTTCCCTGATCTCTTTAGTTTTAGTCGCTCCTGACACGACAAAAAAATGTGGTTGGCTGTTAGGAATTGTGGGAGCTGGAATCCAAAACACCTGGAGGCCCCAAGCTGACCCAGGCCTGGTCTACACTGTGGCTTGATACCACTTTCAACTTCTTTTTCTCTCTACCAAAGAGTTCTATAGCCTCCCCAAGCTACATCTCCATGTGTTGCATCCATAGGCTGGAATTTGAAATCTCCCTCAGGAAGCCAAAGTGACCGTTACAAAGCGCGCGGCCCCGCCCCTCCCGAAAGGGGCGTGGCGAAGTGACGTCAAGGAAGGGAAAAAAGAATAGCGTCATCGCTTTCCTCCTTATTACGCGGCACGGAAGGGGCGGGGCGTAGTGGGGGGGAGGAGGAGGTCACGTGCCTAGGTGTGGAGGGGGAGGGGCTAGAATGGGGCGTCACGTGACAAGGGCGACAAATGCTGAAGAGAGAGAGGGAGAAGGAGGGATTTTGCTTCTTCTTTAAAAGGTGGAATGCTGGGGGAGTCACGTGACGCGGGAGATGCTCCAGAGCGGCTTCGGCGGCGGCCATTTTCTCGCCGCGGCCAGACCGATGCCTGTGTGAGGAGAAGGAGGAGGGGAGAGGCGAGGCTGCGGGGCGGGGAAGGAGGAGAAGGAGGAGGCCCCTTCCCGGGTGACAGGACAGCACAGGCCCGGCCCTTCCGGAGGGCGGACCGAAGTCGCTGGGCGGCTGTGGTGGGCCTGGCTCTCCTTCCTTCCTCCTCTCTCTCTGTCTCTCGCTGGCCTTCTTCTTTTCCGCCGCCACGGCCACCATGTCTGGGCAGAGCCTGACCGACCGCATCACGGCGGCGCAGCACAGCGTGACCGGCTCGGCCGTCTCCAAGACCGTCTGCAAGGCCACCACGCACGAGGTCATGGGCCCCAAGAAGAAGCACCTCGACTGTGAGTGGACGCCAAGCTTTTCCTTCTTGCCTCCCACCCTCCCTCAGGGAATAATAATAATAGTAATAGGGCCATGTTCTAGAGGCATTTTCTCCTGACGTTTCGCCTGCATCTGTGGCAAGCATCCTCAGAGGTAGTGAGGTCTGTGGGAATTAGGACAATGGGTTTATATATCTGTGGAATGGCTGGGGTGGGGCAAAGGACTCTTCTCTGCTGGAGCTAGGTGTGAATGTTTCAACTGACCACCTTCATTAGCATCTCAAGCCCTTCCTGCCTTCTTTCCTCCCTCCTCCCTAAGGGAATAATAATAGTAATAGGGCCATGTTCTAGAGGCATTTTCTCCTGACGTTTTGCCTGCATCTATGGCAAGCATCCTCAGAGGTAGTGAGGTCTGTTGGAAGTAGGAAAATGGGTTTATATATCTGTGGAATGACCGGGGTGGGACAAAGGACTTTTGTCTGCTTGAGCTAGGTGTGAATGTTTCAACTGACCACCTTGATTAGCATTTAATGGCTTGGAAGCCCTTCCTGCCTTCTTTCCTCCCTCCCTCCCTAAGGGAATAATAATAGTAATAGGGCCATGTTCTAGAGGCATTTCTCCTGACGTTTCGCCTGCATCTATGGCAAGCATCCTCAGAGGTAGTGAGGTCTTTTGGAAATAGGACAATGGGTTTATATATCTGTGGAATGGCTGGGGTGGGGCAAAGAGCTCTTCTCTGCTGGAGCTAGGGGTGAATGTTTCAACTGACCACCTTCATTAGCATTTGAAGGCCTGCCTGAGCCTTGGAAAATCTTTTGTTGAGAGGTGTTAAGATGTGCCTGGTTGTTTCCTCTCTGCTGTTTTGCTGTTGTAATTTTATTTATTTATTTATTTATTTGCTTTACTTCTATACCGCCTTTCTCAGCCAAAAAGGTGACTCAAGGTGGTTTACATATTAAAGGTTAACACAACAACATCAAAAAAGCAGTTAAAACACATTATACAAAACATATAAAATCATTATCATATGCGTGCGCCTCAGCAAACAAATCAAAATCAGAGTTCGTAATCATAATCCTTTATACTAATTCCTATGTTCAGTTGTACCATCTTACTGTGTTTCATTGCACAATTTAGCCAAATGCTTGTTCATAAAGCCAAGTCTTGACCTTCCTCCGGAATGCCAGCAGTGAGGGGGCCTGTCTGATGTCCACAGGTAGGGCGTTCCACAGCCGGGAGTTTTAGAGTTTTTTCTAATACTGGTAGCCAAATTTTGTTCGTTTTCATGGTCTCTTCCTTTCTGTTGAAATATCCCTTCCCCTTTCCTTCGCTCAGCAGCCACTCGAATTGTCCCTTGGAGGGAGTCTCCTTTCAGACAGGGAGCCAGCAGAGATAGGTATCAATAAATGTGATAATAATAATAGAATTACAATGTTAGGCCCCCCAAGAGATGTCCAGGCCATGCATTGAATCCCAAATCTTCAGTATTATCGAGGTTATTAAGCCATTATTATCTTGAGTCCTCTTTAAGAAAGGAAACCGGAATAGATGGGAAGCAATAATGATAATATCAGGTCAGGGCCTTCTCTGTGGTGGCCCCCCAACTCTGGAACTCTCTCCACAAGGACATCAGACAAGCCCCAACGTTGGCAGTGAAATAGAAAGGAGTACATAAATATAATAGTATTATATAGCCACTATGTTAGACCCGCAAAGGCTGCCCAGGCCATGGATTGAACCCTAAAGCTTTAATATGATTGAAATTATTAACTCATTATTATCTTGTGTCCCCTTTAAGAAAGGACACCGAGATAGAAAGGAATAAATAGGTTCTTGTGGGTTTTTTCGGGCTATAGGGTCATGTTCTAGAGGCATTTCTCCTGACGTTTCGCCTGCACCTATGGCAAGCATCCTCAGAGGTAGTGAGGTCTGTAGGAACTAGGACAATGGGTTTATATATCTGTGGAATGGCTGGGGTGGGGCAAAGAGCTCTTCTCTGCTGTAGCTAGGTGTGAATGTTTCAACTGACCACCTTCATTAGCATTTGAAGGCCTGGCTGAGCCTGGGAAAATGTTTTGTTGAGAGGTGTTAAGATGTGCCTGGTTGTTTCCTCTCTGCTGTTTTGCTGTAGTAATTTTAGAGTTTTTTAATACTGGTAGCCAGATTTTGTTCATTTTCATGGTCTCTTCCTTTCTGTTGAAATATCCCTTCCCCTTTCCTTCGCTCAGCAGCCACTCGAATTGTCCCTTGGAGGGAGTCTCCTTTCAGACAGGGAGCCAGCAGAGATAGGTATCAATAAATGTGATAATAGTAATAGAATTACAATGTTAGGCCCCCCAAGAGATGTCCAGGCCATGCATTAAATCCCAAACCTTCAGTATTATTGAGGTTACTAGCTGTCCCCTGCCACGCGTTGCTGTGGCCCAGTCTGGTGATCTGGAAATGAAGTAATGAGAAAGTGTTGGTTTCTAATATATGTAATGTCTTTATGCTTGAGGGTAAACAGTATTTCTTGTTGTTTCTTTGTCAGTGTTGATGTGGAGATTGTCTGGTTTGCCTACTCTGGAACATGTAACATATCATTGTCCTTCTTTAGGGGTCCCTTTGAAATCTTTGATACTTCATCTGTCATATACATATTTCAGGTACTTTTTACCCCGCCCTTCTCAACCCCCGAGGGGGGACTCAGGGTGGCTTACCAAAAAAAAAGGCAGAATTCGATGCCTATACAATTTACACATAAAGTACAGAAAACCATAGTTAACAATTGACACAATTAAAACAATCAAACATATATGTGTGTGTGTGAATGGCTGGATGGCCCTTTGTCAGGAGGGCTTTGTTTTGTTGCCCTGGTGAAGGGAGCTGGACTGGATGGCCTTAAGGCAGCATTTCTCAACCTGGGAAGTCAATACACCAAGGGGGAGGGGTCACCAGGGGGGTGTCAGAAGGGTCACCAAAGACCACCAGGAAACACAGTATTTCCTGTTGGTCATGGGGGTTTTGTGTGGGATGTTTGGCCCAATTCCATCATTGGTGAGGTTTGGAATGCTCCTTGATTGTAGGTGAACTATAAATCCCAGTAACTACAACTCCCAAATGTCAAGGTCTATTTCCCCCAACCTTCATCTGTGTTTATATTTGGGCATATTGAATATTCATGCCAAATTTGGTCCAGATCCATCATTGTTTGAGTCCACAGTGCTCTCTGGATATAGGTGAACTACAACTCCCAAACTCAAGGTCAGTGCCCTCCAAACCTTTCCAGTATTTTCTGGTGGTCATGGGAGTTCTGTCTGCCAAGTTTGGTTCAATTCCATCGTTGCTGGAGTTCAGAATGCTCTTTGATTGTAGGTGAGCTATAAATCCCAGCAACTACAACTCCCAAATGACAAAATCATAATTTTTGATTGATGGTCACTCCTTGTGTAGTGAGACATTTTGTTGCCAAATTTGGTGTGATTTCGCTCATTGGTTCTTTTGTTTTTAAGGTACTCATTATGCACAGAGCATTTATATATATATAGATTAAGCCATTATCTTGAGTCCCCTTTAAGAAAGGAATCCAGGATAGATGGGAATCAATCAATATAATATCAATAATAGAGTCACGATGTTAGGCCGCCAAGAGATGTCCAGGCCATGCATTGAATCCCAAACCTTCAGTATTACTGAGGTTATTAAGCCATTATTATCTTGAGTCCCCTTTCAGAAAGGAAACCGGAAGAGATGGGAATCAATAAATATAATATCAGGGCAGGGCCTTCTCTGTGGTGACCCCCCCAGACCCTGGAACTCTCTTCCCAAGGACATCAGACAAGCCCCAACGTTGGCAGTGTTTAGGAAGAGCTTGAAGACGTGGTTGTTCCAGTGTGCCTTCTCAGAATAGAATCATAGAATCAAAGGGTTGGAAGAGTCCTAATGGGCCATCCAGTCCAACCCCCTGCCAAGAAGCAGGAACACCGCACTCAAATCACCCCTGACAGATGGCCATCCAGCCTCTGTTTAACAGCTTCCAAAGAAGGAGCCTCCACCACACTCCGGGGCAGAGAGTTCCACTGATGAATGAGTCATGATGTTAGGCCGCCAAGAGATGTCCAGGCCATGCATTGAATCCCAAACCTTCAGTACTATTGAGGTTATTAAGCCATTATTATCTTGAGTCCCCTTTAAGAAAGGAATCCGGGATAGATGGGAATCAATAAATATAATATTAATAATAGGATCACAATATTAGCCCCCCCCCCCCCCGCGGGATATCCTGTCCAGCCCCTTGCCATGCATTCAATTCGAAACCTTCAGCATTATTGAGTGTATTAAGCCATTATTATCTTGAGTTTCCTTTAAGAAAGGCTAATGGAATGGATAGAAATAAGTAAATAATAATGATTATAGTGATAATAATAGAATCATAGTGTTAGACCCTCCCCCAAGGGATATCCAGTCCAGCCCCTTGCCATGCATGAAATTGCAAACCTTCAGCATTATTAAGGTTTTTAAGCAATTATTATCTTAAGTTTCCTCTAACTGGGATAGGTAGAAATAAATAAATAAAATAATATACAGCCACTATATTCTACCCCCAAAGACTGCCCAGGCAATGGATTGAATCCTAAACCTTTAATATTGTTAAGGTTATTAAGCTATTATTATCTTATGTCCCCTTTAAAAAAGGACACTGGGATAGATAGAAATAAATATATAATAATAGTCACTGTTATACCCCTAAAGACTGCCCAGGCCATGCAGGGAATCCTAAACCTTTAATATTGTTGAGGTTATTAACCCATTATTATTTTGTTTCCCCTTAAAAAAGGACACAAGGATAGATAGGAATATAGTAGTAGTAGTAGTAGTAGTAATAATAATAATAATAATAATAATGCAGTCACTATGATAGACCCCCCCCCCCCCCGCCAAAAAAAAAAGACAGCTCAGGCCATGCATTGAATCTTAAACCTTTAATATTGTTGAGGTTAATAAGCCATTATTATCTTGTGTCCCCTTTAAGAAAGGAAACC